CTCTCACATCCTCAGCCTGTTATAAAAGGGAGGTTAAATGAAATGAAACTACTGATGCTCACTCTATACTCAACAAGAAACAAATTTATTTGTTCAGTGTTAGAGTTAGATAAATTACCGGAACTACTAACAAACTGAACAATTCCCACTTAACTACTAACTATTCCCGAATAAAACAAAATTCTAATGGCATACTGTTCCGATAAATACAATAACAAAAATAGATTAAAACTTAATCCCTCAAAAATTACAGCCAGGATGCGTCTTCTAGAATACGCAAAGCCGTCACCACTGATCCTCCGCCAGGAACGCCTTTCTCCAGATTCTGGTGTCCGGAATATTAGCTAAGACTGCCACTGTACCTTTAATTAGATGATGGTTTTTTTTCTCCTGAGAGCAGATAGAATTCTTCCTACAAGATCAGCCCTAGGGTGTTAAAACCATCAGATCCAAATCTTTTTTTTTGGTAATTAGGGCCTAGTTTAAATTAATTGGCTAAATTCAAAACTTGTTGTCTCGGTAAAACTGCTAACAGTATACCCCTTGGATACAAATGTTTCAATTCAAGAACTGTGCAGCTGCTGCTTCTTAATCTGCAAGCCTAGAAAAAAAAAACGTTTTTAATAAAAAAAAAAAGGGGGCCATGCACAGTTTACCCCCTTATTTTACAAATAAATATTCTAACGTTTTGCCTTCCAATCCACCAATACTCTACCCAACTTCACAACACATGATAGAACTATTAATAGCACTTACCCAGTCATACTACTGAGCAGACGGTCAGAATAGTTCCACATTCGCAAATATTCAGTTTCACTTCGTATTTGTCAAGATGGATATTGATCCTTTCTACTTTTCAGGTTACCACACAAGAGAGCCAAAACCCAGCTCTGTATAACAGATGATTCTTTAATCCCTGAGGCAGTTTGGTATTACTGATTTTGTAAATCTATTGGTAACTTGACCCCTGATGCTTTGTATAAAACTGGAATAATTACATGACATCAGTTTCCATTGCTCCTATGTGGTTTTGATAAGGGATTTTTGCACATTAGGTGGCCAATTATGCTACAGAAAAGAGTCAAAAACATCAAAAAAAATGTACAGTAAATAACCAAGTTTATCAGTGAAATGCTTGGCATCTAAACCCACGAGCAAGCTTGCATTACTGAGAAATTTAAGTTGCAATGCAGAAATCAACTTTGTTTACTTGAAGGGCTGGCGTAGACTATCTGAACCTTGAAAATCT